ATTAAAAAAATGTAAATTTGATATATAAAGCAAAAGATTAAGAATGATTTAAGTTGATCATGTAAACAGTGATGAGAACCTTTGAATGGGACGGAGGGAGTATTTAATGTTCCAGATTTGTTTCTTTTTCAGATCAGCCTTCTAACCTAGATTTTTTTAGTTTGTGCATTGTAGAAAATTTTTGGTATTAATGTTTTATTTTTCGATTTTTAGTTTTAAGATGAACGCTTAATAGTTTATTCAATATTGTGTTTTAATCACTAACTTGCATTGAGTTTTTGTGTTATACTAAAATGAGTATAGTTAAAATAAATGTACATGAGTAAACATTATAAAAAGAACACAATTATATTTTTAATTAAAGAACAAAAGACTATAATTTTTTTTTAAATTTCTCACAATTATATATAATGATAGTTTAGTAAATTGTTAATAATGAATCTACTCCATGTACATATTATTGAAAGAAGTTTATGTTATATCCGAATGAGTATGACCATTAAAAGAAACAAACATGCACAGTGAATATTTGAACACATTAGAGAGTTCAAATGAGCTTTTTAAAATTTTTATGCTCATTTTATAAGTTATGTATGCCCATCTGATAATGCTTTTATGTGCATTTTAAAATGTCATATCAATGCATATTTCAAAAATAACATATTACATCACAATCACATAAGAGATGGTTATAGACATGAGTGCAGAGATCATGATACTCAATTGTGTGCTTCTAATAGTCAATAGAGGAAACTTAATGCTCAATGAAAATGTCTTGATGGTCAACTAACAAAGTTTACGATTTTCAAATCAATGCTCATTTTGTAGGATACGTATGTTCATTTGGTACTGATGTTATGCTCATTTCCATATTTCTAAAATATGATATTACATAATTAAGATTTGTATATTGATGTTCATAAGAATTGATTATTTTATAATTTAAGAAATTTTCACAAAAAGGAAAAAAAAAAAATAGAAAGTAAATTAGAAGATATGAAGCAGAGATCACGATGTTCATTGTTAGGCTCATAATACTCAAAACAATAGGTCTGATACTCACTAAAAATGCATTAATGCTCATTTAGCGGAAGTCGCAAATTTCATTTAAATTACCAAAATGTCACCGACTGTACGATGCTCACCGTACATTCGGATGTACGATATACACTTCCAAAATGAAATACATAAATGGAGAAACTAAATAAAATAACAACAAGATGCAAAAAGGAGGAAAAAGTGTAAAGATGATGAAAACAAGTTAAAAATGACTAAGAATAATCTTACATTTTATATATCTTTTTAAAATAATCGCACATTTACATAATCACAAAATAACTCCACTTTTACACCATATCTTTTTATCATTGGTTTCTGGTTAGTTAATGACCTATTATACCGTTTATTTGCTCTTTCTTTGAAAATCTTACGTAAATAGTCCTGCATTTCACATATCTTCTAAAAATAGCCCCTTATACCGTTTTTAACGGAAAAGACGTATTCAAAAAATAAAAAGTACAATGTGAGAATAAAAGTGAAAAGAAGTACAGAAAAGCAATGAAAATGAAATGATAAAAAACTAGACCCAAAGGAAATCTCTGGACTGAGATCTAGTCCTCATGTTGTGGCGCCTTTTGTTCTTTTGAGATTTCTTGTAAATTTTGAGTTGCATGTTCAGGTTGTCTGTTGGCAGGTAGTTTTCGGATGAACTTCGATTTACGACAATTCGTTCTGTTGAATGTGGAGTTCCTAATTTTTCCTGGTTTGATAAAAGTGGACGACGATCGCTTTTGGTTGCATGTCCCTGGAAGTCGTTTGAGAGGAAAGAGTTGTCAGAATGATCAAAGCCATCCAAGGTATGAGAGTAAAGCCTATAGAATTGAAAATTGGGATTGTTTCTACAAAGAGAGGGGTTGTTGCTTCACGCCATAGGCTCTCTGAACTTCATAGTTAAATATGAATTTAGAAATGGAAATTTCTTCAGCGATAGCCGAATTGAAATCTCATGCTCCCAATGCATGGCTTTCTCCTTCTCTAAATAAGATAACCAACCAAATTAGAAAACAATGTCATAAAATTAATCATTGAGGTTGGAATTGTGTGGGACCCTCGAGACTATAACAGAGCTCCCCTTTTCCTTAGCAATCTTCATATGACAACATGAGTTGTTGTGTACTGAAGTAATCGTGATAGATCCTACGCTGCATGTGCTTAAAAAATTTATAGCTTGTGAGTTGGTAGATAAGACATTATATCTGAGGTTCTAAATGTGTTTTGAAATTAATCCTTTTTAGCGAGGATTTTTGAATGTCAAAACTGGCTATTTCCATGTTTCTCGAAGCAAATCTAAAGAGTTTAGATTTAATTTTTATGGATTCAAAACCCTCCTCTCCGAAAAAATTTAATTTTTCAAAAACCTTGAAAGATTTACTCGACGTGGCATTGAAAAGATCAGCCGGATCTGTGAGAGCGCTGCTATTAGTGTCTTTAATGATAATTTCTTTTTCATCCCTAATGGGAGGTCTCGAGTTCGAAACGCACTAGGCACATAAGGGTTTGAAACTCAATGGAGTGAGTTTCAGCCCTGATTACTCCAGGCCCCCTCCCCCAGACCCCCCTAGAGTAAAAAAAAATTGATAATTTCTTTTTTGCCTTATCAAAAAAGGCTTTTTGTAGAATTTGTCCTCAACACTTTTCTTCTTTCATTCTTTCTTTCTTTCTTTCTTTCTTTCTTTCTTTCTTTCTTCTTCTTCGTTATTTTTACTCTACTTTCTTTCTTATATACCTATTTGGTTAATTCTTTTTTAAGAACTTTAACCCGCACTACTCTTTTTTATGATAAACGACTTATCTTAATATCAAAAAAACATGTAAGGTAATCTCCAAACAACTATTACAAATTCGATTGTAAGTCATAGTAATAGACATCGAGTCGGTCACCCCATACAAAGTGATCTAACTCGCTAGACACAAAACAATTGATTTTAAGCCCAAAACAACCGGAACTGAAGCATTGCCTATCACGAGTACTCCAAATATGACAATCATAAGTACTCAAACTCAAATAAAAACAAGTACTAGTACAAAAAGAAATACTGAAATAATGTTTTTTCTTCAAATCTTTGGCATGGAGGTAGTTTTAGAGCGGGACAAGCTGCTACAATACCGGTGAAAACTAAATCCATCCTCCTATTTCATTCTGGATAGACGTAGAAACAGGTGGAATACCAAATAATCTTTATGCCTCTACCATTCTCTATACAACCTAAAAGAACACAAACAGAAATTCCAGACCTGACAAAGCTGGTCAGTGGTCGGGACACCAAAGCAACTCCAAATAATCAACAACAGCGAAAGAAAAATCAAGTTGAATCATAACACTACCAAATAATCCCCGATGAGGCTAGACCAACTGATGAGAAGCAATCTTACGACACTCTAGGGTTTTATGCTGACTCGGATCCCAGCTCGCTTGCTAAGGCTTCGACCATATATATTGGATATATAAGTACAGATGTCATTCACAATTGAGGAGTGTGGTATGCCTAAGTGCGAAAGCTTCTTTTTACTCTTTATTATTTTATTTATTCACTTTTTTTGTTTGATTCTTCTTTTTGTTTCTTTTTTCCCTTTTCGACATCTTTGAAGTCATTGTTTACTTCTAACTTTTTCCTTTTCGGCTAGTTTGACATGTTAGTGACTTGTGAGTTTTTTCTCTATATTTTTTCTTATTCTTTCTCCATTTTCGGCTAATTTTCCTCACATATATTCTTCGTGTTAAGAGTATACATCATTTTTTCTCTGATTGTTTCTTTTTATATTTAACGTTTTTCCTAAAAAAAATTATCATAAAGAGTTTGTCGCGTTATTGATGGAATTAATAGGTTGGCTTACTTAGAAAAATACATAGACATAAACGAAAAAATATTAATGGTGAAATGAAGGTATCAAGAAGAAAAAAAGTGAGAAAAAAACTTTAAAAAGGTAACAAGAAAAAGGAGGAAACCGTGAAAATAAAAGAAACACAAAAGAGTAGAGTCGATCTGAAAAAGATGTTTTACAGAAAGGGAATGATTAAAGGCATCCTCATCCATGAGTTTATTTGAAGATCAATTGGATGATGTGTAAGATTATTTTAAAGATTATCATTGTGAGTGAGTGATTATTTAGTGAGATTATTGAAAAAGAAAATCTGGTATCAAGATTCCAATCCCGAATTATTTTAGATTATAGTTAAATTACATTTAATGCATGTCCGGAAAAACTATCTATACGAGTATTATTGTTGATGAAGAGTTTTAAACTTTGAGATTATTTAAAATTTATGGAATAAATGTGATGTGGCAATGATATGTAATAAAAAAATCGTTTATTTAGAGAGCATGAATGGAGATGCTCTAAGAAGTGAAATAAATAAAAGGAAAATGAAATAAAATTACAAGAAGAATAAGAAAATGGAAAAAATATTTGTTTGTGAAAGAAATTTTTCAAAAACTATCCTAATAGAATGAGAATTAGAATAATAAATATGAAAAAGAAATAAAAACAAAAAAAATGAAAAAAAGGAATGGAGAGATATGTAGAAAATAAATAAATAACAAAAAATATTAGGGAGTAAAAAGAAAAAAGGGGACATACGACTGTTTTGAAAAAAACTCGTACAAAAGATCATCAACTTGTCAAAAACCAGAGAAACAAAAGTAGATATAAATGTGAGATTATTATGAGATTACATAGTAATGTGAGATTATTATGAAAATATCATTGAAAAATGAGATTATTATTGTGAATTTTCCTAAAAACAAAAGAGAAAAACCTCGCACGAGAAAAATTGAAAAGATTGTTTTGAAAAGATTGTAAAAATGTGATTATTGTTTTCAAAAAAAAAAGGAGAACACCCCTATGCATTTTTAGTATAGTAAACTCTCATCCCATTTGACGAGATTCGAACCCAGGACCTAACTCGTGTGACACTCCCTTGCTACCAATCGAACTACGTATAGTAGATTATTGTTTTGAATTTTTCATTTAACAAATGCGATTTTTGTACAAGTATTAATGAAGTGACGCGAAGTATTTAAAAAAAGGCATGTCAGACGGACCAAAACTGAGTCAGTATTTACAATTTGAGAACGGAAGTTAGAAAGAAAAGAAAAGTAGGAGAAGAATAAAAATGGATTTAGAAGTGGAAGGAAACATCATCATCGCCTCCGAACCTTCAATTTGTTCTTTCTGCTCCTCCGTGCCTCAGCATACATGGCCTTCTTCTTCTTTAGCATACTCTCGTCGGCGGTAGGGCCGAACCGATTATTTTCAAAGCCCAAATTATTCTGCGGAGAGGGCAAGCCCTTTTGGAATCTTTGGCCCATTGGATCAACAATGAGTGGATGTTGATAATGATAATAAAGTTGTTGGGCTACAGTTCTGGCTGGCCCAATTAACCTCACAAAAGCCTCTGGTTGTTTGTTGAATGAAGTCAATAGCGGCGGCGGCGGCGGCTGCTGCAGCTGCGGCGATTAAGGGCATTTTTGAGTTTTTCTAAAAATACGGGAAATAACGCTAAATGGGAGAGGATTTCTAATTATTAGTATTGTAAAAAGAAAGCACAAATAAGGCCATACCCCCTCCTCCTCCTCCTCATCATGTTTCATTGCTTTCAACTTGAGATTGTAAAGCCTCTGGGTATCGCAGTGAACTCTCACACTCTCCAATTGCTGTAAAAAATCAAGGAGTAAAAAAAATTACTAGTAACTAATAAAATTAGATAAAAAATGAAGTGGTTTTACCTGGATCAGCATTTCTTTACAGCGTGTTAATTCCTCTATTTCCCTCTTCCATTCCGCTCTACTCTGCCACCCGCAAAAAACACAAACCTTACCCATTAATTCATATAAATGATACCAAAATCACAAATAAATGTACCCTTTTCTTCAAGTGTTTGTCATCAGATTCAGTGGTGGGGCAGAAGGAGAGTGGGGTGTCAGGACTCAAGACTTGGACTTTCACTGCCGGGAATTCGCCGCCGCCGGCCCTGCTGCTAGATCTCCTCCGCTTACCACCCCATCTGCACACTGACTCCCGATATCCAGCCGCCGCCGAACATTCGGATTCCCGAAAGAGCTTTCCGAGCTCAAGCAATATGTTACAAACCTCAATCTCATCCGGAATTTCTTCCATCTCCACCACAACATTCAATTCTTCTCCAGAGACAAACAACTCAGAAGGGGAAGAAGAAGCACAGAACGGTTTGTTTGGCTAAATAAGGGGAATCCATGAATGGGGCGATTGACACGTGGCGGTTGACTGTGGATGCAGCGCGCTGTCTAGGGTTTTGTAATGACTGTAGGTGGATATACGGGTGCCACAGGTCTCTATAGATTTCTTTTTGGTCGCGTGGATTAATAAAGTAAAAATTGTTTCGTTTAAATTTGTCCAGATGAGAGATAATTAATTTTAGTGACATATTCCTTACTTTAAATGGAAATGACAAATCTTTTTGGGACATCCAAAAAACTTAATTTAGCCGACCTTTTCGGGACAGATGTAGCCAATCTTTTGTCTGATTACCTCATTCCTCAAGCGGTCTTTTCTGGTATGTCCACACACCCAACGCAACATACGCATATCTGTCACACTCATCTTTTGAATGTGGCATTGCTTCACCGCCCAACACTCTACGCCATACATTAATGTCGACCTAATTGTTGTACGATAAAATTTACCTTTCAGTCTAGTCGGCATACCTCGATCGCATAGAAATCCTGAAGCACTTTTCCATTTCATCCACCCAGCTCTAATTCTATGGCATACATCTCCATCTAATTCACCATCCTTCTGAATTATGGATCCCAAGTAACAGAACATATCACACACCGGTATCTCCTTACCATCAAGAGTAATCCCACTGTTGCTACTACTTCTACCTCCATCGAACTTGCACTCTATATACTCAGTCTTGCTTTGGCTCAGTCTGAAACCCTTGCTCTCCAATGTTTGTCGCCATACTTCCAACTTTGCTTTAACCCCGGATTGTGTCTCATCAATCAATACAATATCGTCAGCAAACATCATGCACCACGGTATATCTTCTTGAATTGACTTCGTAAGTTCACCCATGACTATAGCAAATAAGAAAGGACTCAGAGCAGATCCTTGGTGCACTCCGATAGTAATAGGGAACTCTGCGGTCCTCCCTACACTAGTGCGGACACTTGTAGTACAAGCATCATACATATCCATGATGATGCTGATATACTTACATGATATGCCTTTTCTAGTTAAGGCCCACCAAAGAACTTCTCAAGGTACCCTATCATATTCCTTTTCTAAGTCAATGAACACCAAATGCAGATCATTTTTAGTGTCTCTATACTTCTCCACAACTTGTCTAAGAAGGTGAATGGCCTCAATTGTTGAGCGTCCAGGCATAAAACCAAATTGATTCTCCGAAATTTTCACACTTTTACGAAGTCTTTGCTCAACCACTCGCTCCCAAAGTTTCATGGTGTGACTCATAAGCTTAATCCCTCGATAGTTAGCACATTCTTGTACAACACCCTTATTTTTAAATAAGGGAATGAGAGTACTCTTCCGCCAACTCAGTGGTATTTTGTTGTTTCTCCAAATCATGTTGAAGAAACGTGTTAGCCACTCGATGCCTTTCTCTCCCAAACTTCTCCAAGCCTCGATCGGTATGCCATATGGGCCCACTTTTTTCTTCCGGCCCATTTTTCTCATAATCTCTTTAACTTCTGTTGTTTGAATCGTTCTCACGAAGTCCCTATTTACCATAGACTCTGGTATAGTAAGATCATCAATACCTTGGACTTTATTCCCGTTGAACAAGGTATCAAAGTATGACCTCCACCTCTCTTTTATTTCTTCGTCGTCCATTAGTACCCTTTGATCGACATCCTTCACACACTTAACTTTTCTGATATCTTGAGTCCTACGGTCACGAAGGCGAGCAAGTTTGTAGATATCTTTTTCTCCTTCCTTAGAATCCATCTTTACATACAAATCCTTGTTCACTTTTCCTTTGGCTTCCTTCACATCTTTCTTTGCTCTTCTTCTAGCCTCTTTGTACTCCTCTATGTTCTCGTCGCTCCAACTTTTGCCTAATTTCTTATAGCATTCCCTTTTGGTCCTTATTGCTTGTTTCACCTCATCATTCCACCAAGATGTGTTCTTTTTTTGTGGCAAACATCCTTTAGATTCTCCGAGTATCTCCTTCGCCACTTTGTTAATGGTGGACTCCATTGATAACCACACATCATCCATGTGTGCGTCGTTATCAATAGACCAAACATCTTCCTCTAACATTTTGGGTGCAAAACTTTGTTGGAGATTCCACTCGAGCCTCCACCATTTTATCTTTGGCTCCCCTTGTACCTTAACTAGTCTCCTCTTTTTACCTCGAAAATCAAGCACAAGAAACCTATGCTGAGTGACAACACTCTCACCTGGGATAACTTTGCAATCAGTGTAGCTAGTTCTCCAAGTCATCCGTACTAAAAAGTAGTCAATTTGGATACTATTAGCTCCATTTCTATAGGTGACAAGGTGAGAGTCTCTTTTCTTGAACCAAGTGTTCATCACAGCCAACTCATATGTCGAGGCAAAATCTAGAATGTTCTTCCGTGCTTCATTTCTAGTGCCAAAACCATGTCCGCCATGGACACTCTCAAAACCATCATGACTTGGGCCCACATGCCCGTTGAGGTCGCCTCCTATGACCAATTTCTCTCCCCTTGACACTCATCGCACCACTTCCTCAAGATCCTTCCAAAATTGTTGAGTGATAGATGCATCTAATCCCACTTATGGTGCATAGGCACTAACCACGGGCACGATCTCATCCCCTATTATCAACTTAATGCTCATGATGTGATTGTTCTTCCTAAAGACTTCAACCACATCGTCAGCATAATCATGTGCCACCATAATGCCTACTCAATTTCTGTTCCTCTCTCTCCCCGAGTACCAAAGCTTAAAACCTCTGAGATTAATCTCACGTGCCTTTTCTCCAACCCACTTAGTTTCTTGCATGCACATTATGCTGATATTCCTCCTCTTCATAACCTCGAATATCTCAGATGATCTTCCCGTAAGAGAGCCAACATTCCATGTCCCAAAACGCAACCTAACACTGCCTTCTCTTCTTCACCCCACATCGATCCCCACCATGTCCTTGCATATTTGACACCATCCCCGGGCATTGGAGTGGCGTGTCGCTTCCGGGCAACGACCTAGCAGCCTTAGCATTGTTATCACCACACCCAGGCCTATGAAGTGTAGCGCGCCCTTGCTCATTTGACATCACCCCCAGACAGAGGGATGACGCGTCACTAACGGGCGACGATCTAGCTGTAGTGATATTCATATTTCGATTCATGTCATGTGATGTGACTAAGTGATACTGTTGGCCGTCACGTGCCTACCACAACACCCTCCTCCTTTATCCTGGCTTGGGACAGGCAACACACATGCCTACCACAACGCCTATCACTCATAAGGTTTGAATGGATACAAATATGACCATTTTAGAAATTTACAAAAAAAGTGAGTAATCCCAGACCCACCTGCTTCGTTCCTTCTTCCGCTGGATCTACTCCCCTTCTCCATCGTTCCTCCATCACTTCGTCTCCTTCGTTGCCAGACTGTGTCGTCCACTTCGAATGCCCCTCCCTGTTGTTGATGGCTTCCCGTCTCCACTTGGTCTCCGTCTCCATCACCGATTGGTCTCCGTATCCATCACCGATTGGTCTCCTTCGTTTCTGCCGTCGTCGAAGTCGTCTCTTCCTCCTTCATTCGGCTTAATCGCGAGCTTCATTGTTACTTGTGTGGCCAACGGACGACAGCTCCATGAATGACGGATGAAGATTGGATTTCATTGGCGACTGACGAAGCTTGGATTTGGAGACTAACGAAGTGCGATTCCTTTCCCCTTCGTGTATTTCATCCCTTTGTGACTGCGGATCAATTGCCTAGGGTTCGTAGGGCGACGGCTCCTAGGGCGGGGCAGCGACGCTACAAGATTGGGGAGATGCAACGACAGTATGGGAGATGGGGTAGCTATGGTGCAGGGATGGGGTACTGGTGCAGGGATGGGGTACTGACTGGTACTTGGGGCTGGGGGGTAGACTAACAGGGCAAGGGGGCAGGGGGCAGGGCAGGGTGGTGTCGGAAATTTGGGGTTCGTTGGACACTTCCTGGCATTTGCAGTAGTGGTGAGGGCGGGTGGTGACCGTTGGTGATGACCTACAGTGGGCGGGTCACAACTACGATGGTAGGGGCATGGGGATTGACCAGGAAGGGTAGGGGCAGTAGGCGGTGTCACTCGTCACGGTGTCACGGTGTCACTCGTCGTGGTGTCACGGTGTCACTCGTCGTGGTGTAACTATAGCCGGTGGTGGTTTTCAAGCGGCGGCGATCACCGGTGCGAAGAAGTTGTGGATGTCACTGTGTATTTGTCACTGTAGCGTGTCACTGTGGTTTGCGGCGGCGTCATTGTGGTGGCATCACTATAGCGGCGTCACTATGACGATGTCACTGCGGCGGTGTAATTGGCGTGAAAATTTTGACTTTATCAAACTCTCGGTGACAAGAAAAACGAACACAGTGACATAATTTTTTTGCAGTGACATCATGTTTTCTAATCCCAAATATGTGACCTTGTTAATCACTTTTTTGTCAACTTTTAAAAGTACTCACATTTTTGGAAATTCAGTCCAATTTAGTAATATTAAGGGAATAACCCCTACTTTTAATGCTAGCTAATTATTCTAACGGTTTTTATGTGTATTATTATAGCCATTATTGTAATTAAAGCAGAAGTGTTACATACTCAAATAGTTAACCAATATTAATGACGACATCATGACGAGTTTGAATGTCGTCATAACAGCCAAAACCGTCAACAACGGACAAAACGACATTAATTGCCCCTCCTATAAGTAGTATCGAGCTCAGTTGTAAGAGAAGAGACCCTCATTCGAATTACACATCGATTTACATTCTATTTTGCTCACTTGACATCTTTCTTGTTGTTCTAGTCATTTTGCTTACCGTTCTTGCACAAAACCCAATCACTACACAATTTCCATTCTAACTAGTTTTAGTTTATCAAAATTTTGCTAAAACAATTTGGCGCCGTCTGTGGGAAATGTGCAAGAAATATATTCTCCATGGAAGAAACGAGCAACGAGATGATGGCCGAGTTCCATAAGTAATTGGAGGCGATGAAAGAAGAAATCCGGTGTGAAGTGGAGGAACGGATGACTCGCCTCCAGCGGGAAAATGACATGCTACGACATATCACTAACGTCGAGATCCAAGGAAGTTCGCTGCCCCATCAATGAAGTTGTTCGATGGAACTTCCGATCCCTTGCAACACATTGCACATTACAAGCAGCAGATGTTGGCCATTTCAGTCAGGCCAGAGCAACGGGAAGCCTGCAGAGCATTCGGGACGACATTAACGGGACCAATGTTGACATGGTTCATCAATTTGCCCAAGAAGGAATCAACTCATGCGCAGAACTCATCAACCTATTCAACCAACAATTCTCAAGCAGTTGGGTCCTCAAAAAACAGACCAGTGACCTTTACCGAGTAATCCAACGACGGAGTGAATCTTTGAGAGATTATTTGCACCGATTCCATAAGGAAAAGGTGTCGATCCCAAAATGTGGCATCTCTACCACCATTAAAGCATTCAGAAGAGGTTTGTATGAAGATTCGGAGTTGTACCACGAATTGAAAAAATACCCTTGTCGGTCCTTCGAAGATATCCAAGCAAAGGTGTTGGATTTCATCCGTCTAGAAGAGGACTTACGATCCCGTCGAAGACAAATTGAGCGCGAAGGGGGGCATGGGAAATCAGAATCTCCCAGGAGGCATGATTACAAACATGGAAAACCATATTCAAGACCTGAGGAACAAGTCGTCACTTATGTGACGAGATAGATCAGACACCATGATCGAGGTCGTCGGATGGTGGACATGTTGTCCGATGATACACAGGTTCTGAAGAGCTACAATACGGTACCCTTAAAGTTGTTTCATTTTTAGTTTTGTATTTTCTTTTACATAGTGTTGTCACTCCTGTGATGAGATACCTGTGATGAGTATCAAAATCATTTCCGGCGGATACGGATCCGCCACAAGACACCTTAAGTCCAAACACCCATTGGAGTATGCAAAATTAGGCGGCAGAACGGGGAAGCAAACTCAAATATCGAGGTTTGCAAATAACCAACAAGCTTTTGGTAATTTCTCATACAATGATGCACAAAATTTGACAGGTATGGCTAACTTACTTGTTGAAGAAAATTTGTCTTATTTGTTTTTTGAAAGTCTTGCTTTTCGTGATTATGCACAAACTTGTTTAAATCCGCAATATAGAGGTTATAGTCGCAAAACGGTTAAGAAAGAAATTTCAAGGCTTTATGGTGCGGAAAAGGTAAGGTTACAAAATTATTTTGCAAACTTTGATGGACGTATTACTGTATGTTCTGACATATGGGAGGATACTTATCATAATTTACATTATTGGGGTCTGACTGTACATTATATTGATAATGATTGGCATATGCATAAACGTGTTCTTGCTTTCCGTGAATTTAATGATCGTCACACCGCTGAACATATTTATATTTTGATTGAGCGAATTTTAATTGAGTATAATTTAATTGATAAGGTGTTTGCTATTGGTTTTGATAATGCTACTAATAATACTGCTGCTATTCCTAGATTGCGTGAATTGTGTGGTTCTACTTCTTTGATGGGTAGATTTTTTCATCAACGATGTGCATGTCATGTTCTAAATTTATGTGTGCAAGATGGTCTAAAAGCGTTGGGAGCATCGTTGGAGGTAGTCCAGGGGGGATTAGACGTATTTGGGGTAATAGACAACTTAGGAAAAAATGGCATGATTATTTGATAGAAAGAGGTGAGAGATATGTGGCTTTTCCTAAAGATTTGTCTATTCGTTGGAATAGTACCTATAAGTTAATTGAAGTTCTTCTTAGATATAAACAACATTTTCCTGCTTTTATGAAACAATATGATAACTATATTATAAACTCGGCTGAGATCGACACATGTGAAAAAATTTGTAATGCTTTGATATATTTTAATAATGCAACTGAAACTTTTAGTCATGTTTATAAACCTACCTCAAACCAATTTATTCGTGAAGTTGTTAATCTCGCCGATGCTTTTTCAAATTTTGAGAATGCTGATTGTGTGAGTTATTTTGCTAGTTTTATGAAGGAAAAGTTTTTAAAATATTATTCACATATTCCGCATATTTATGATATTGCATTTGTTCTCGATCCTCATTTTAGAGTTGGTTCTTTAGAAGAATGTTTGAATTATTATTATGCTGCTTTTTTGGTCCATTGCCAATGTATGAGGACAACCCAATTGATCCGAAAAAAGAATACAACGAGATTAGTGATATATTTTATGTATTATTCAATGAGTTTCATGCACAATATGACAATGCGCCCCCTCCCCCGATACAAACATCATCTAAAGGAAAATCAATTTTCAAATCTACGTTTGCCAATCTTATTAAAAAAACGAAATCAACTCCCGCTACACAACAAAGCACAATTAATGAGATTTCTTTGTATTTAACATATGATGTTGATTTTGAAGAAGATGATGATTTTGACGTACTAAACTGGTGGAAGGGAAAAGAAAGAATGTTCCCGATTTTAGCAAAGATGACTAAGCAAGTGCTATCAATGCCGGTTTCAACGGTTGCCGTGGAACAAGAATTTAGTTCGGCCGGCAATGTCCTAACGCAAACCAGAACGAGGTTGAGCGCAGAATCTCTTGAGATGCTTATATGCTACCACGATTGGTTGAAAACAGCCTGTAGAGCTCAAGAAATTGACATCACCCCATCCCAACACTTTATGGATGAATCTACAACCGAGGGTGACTCTACTTATGTCGGAGATTCCGATTGAATGATTGATTAGTATTTCATGTTTTAATTTTACCTTCAATTCTCAATTGTAGTTCATATTTAATTTTCAAATGTAGTTCCTATTTCATTTCAAATAAATGCACTTGAAGTTTGTTTTTAATACTTGTATAAAACTATAAAGTATAAAATATAAATTATAAAAACAAAAAAAAAACTTTAACCGACCCGTGACCCGGGCGAGTGGCCCGGCCCGAACCGGACCCGTCCAACCCTCGGGCCGGTCCCGGGCCCATATGATACAAACCGGCGGCCCGACCGGGCCCGACCCGGCCCGAGTCCATGACTAATCTTCTCTAATCTCCACATTTTCTAATATTTTTATACACATTTTTATAAAACTATAAAGTATAAATTATAAAAAACATATATGTATTTAACCGGCCCGGCCCGGCGGGTGGTCCGACCCGTGACCCGGGCGGGTGACCTGGCCCGAACCGGAACCGCCTTTACCGCGGGCCGATCCCGGGCCCACCATTCACAAACCGCCGGCCCGACCAGGCCTAGGTCTGACCCGGGCCCGAACCGGACCGAGTCCAAGTCTATAACCAGCTAACGGCCGATTGCCAAACAAGGTCATTATTAAACTTCTAATATGATTTGTAAATGCTTTATAATCTACTTTTATGATGGATGTTACAACCCGTGCAACACGTGAGTTTGTAAATATATAATCAGTCAAATTTAACATCATTGATTTAAAAAGTCAAATTTGGCTAATAAAAAGAGAGAAATGATGATGATGATAAAAATAATCCAGCTTTAATAGTTAGAAAAAGGTGTAATAGTTACGACTTACGAGCGATAAGGCAAGCCCCCAAATTAGATTAACTTTGTAATGCCCTATCAGATACCACCACAAACTATGAAGATGTCTTCCGTTTCTTCCTTGGAGCAGCAACAAAGTCGTCGTCGTCGTCCGCGTCTGATAGTCCGGCATCATCATCATCCTTCATGCGTTTATTTTTATTATTCTTATTTGACATTTTTGATGGGGCAGTTCGCTTTCTCTGTGAAGCGGCTGGGGAAGGCCTATTCCTCTTCTTCTTTTCCTTGGTGTTGACACAATCACTTTCCCTCTTTACACTGCCGCCAACTGCTTTCATGGGGGAACTAAATTTTATTGACTTCTTTTGTCTCTTCTCAAAAACTTGAGCCGCCTTCTCCTTTGGTAGCAAACCCGACTCCATCATCCTGCAGCATCAATGAGAGATACTGTGTGTGTATGTTTCATAGCAATTCAATAATCAGATATTATATTTTATGTTTCCCCAGGGTATTCATTTACAAAAATAATGACAAGCCTTTTGGTGAATATATATAAAAGAATGTTCTTCCAAATCAGTTCTGTTACAAAACAATTATAGTCAAATCCAGAGCTATTATCTTTCCCGCGTTGTTATTACTTTTTCTGCTTTCAGGGTAGCATGCCAAACATGCTCGTCTATATATATTGGGAAAATTCCCGAAATAAGAGTAAATAAGTTTGATAATTCCAAAATAGGACTGTCATGGTTTTATTCCCAAAATAGGAGTAATTACTGTCATGTTTAAAGTATGGTACTGCCAAAACATGGCAGTAAGTAGTCTTATTTTAGGAATAAAAACATGATAGTACTATTTTGGAATATATTAACGTTATTAGTCCTATTTATGATAATTTCCCATATATTCAATAAATCCAATGGAAAAATAAAAACAATTTAAACCAGGGTTTGCTGTCCAACACCTGGGGTCCTGGGCAACAAAAAGTTATCATCATTTATTTAACTTTCTGTTTTTTTATAAATCTCAAATATAGACTGAGCCAATAAAAACCTTCCCTCCAAACAGAAACTCGGGAAATGCTATGGAAAGAAACAATATTATTAATCTCGAAAGATTTTGGGATCAACTAACATGAATTGATCTATAAAATCAGAATCAAAAAGAGAAGAAAGAGAAGAAAAATAAAGAGATAAGGTAAGATAAAATGAATAAGATATAAATAACATAAGAACATAAGACACGTAAAAAATAAAAGAACATAAAAAAGATAAAAGATAAAAAATAACATCAGAATATGGAATGATAAAGAAGATAAAAGAAAACGAGAAAGAGGAAAGGGAAAAAGAGATCAATCGACCACATGTATATGCACCCTCTACTTTGGTTTTTCCAAAGTCATACTCTCATCCAACTCAAGACGAAAGAAAATATCAATTCTGATTCCTATAATCCAAATCTATTTGGATCTTCCCCTCCCCTTCCTACCACCTTTTCTCCCCACCTCATAACTCGTCTAAGAGGTGTATCACTAAGTCTTCTATGCACATGACCAAATCATCGCAATCGAAACTCATGCATCTTATCTTCTATAGGTGTTACTCTTATCTTTTGTTTGATTATCTGATTTCTCAAACGGTCTTTTCCGGTACATCTAACGCAACATACGCATCTCTGTCACACTCATCTTTTAAATGTGTCATTGTTTCACTGTGCAACACTCTACGCCATACATTAGTGCAAGCTTTTAGTCTGGTCGACATACCTCAATCACATAGAAACCCTGATGCACTCTTCCATTTCATTCACTCAGCTCTAATTCTATGTGATACATTTTCATCTAATTTGCCATCCTTCTGAATTATAGAACCCAAATAATCGAACATATCACACACTGATATCTCATTACCATCAATGGTAATCCCACTGTTATTACTTACTGCTACTTCTATCCTCTCCATACTTGTACTCCATATACTCAGTCTTGCTTCGACTCAATCTAAAATCCTTGGTCTCCAAAGTATGTCATCATACTTCCAACTTTACTTTAACATCCAATTGATCTCATAAATCAATACAATACCATAGGTAAACATCATACCCCACGATATTTGAATTGATTTCGTAAGTTCATCCATGACTATACCAAATAAGAAAGGACTCAGAGTCAATCCTTAGTGCACTCTGATAGTGACACGGAACTCCACAGTCCTCCCTACACTAGTACGAACACTTGTGGTACAAGACTCATACATAACCATGAAGATACTGATATACTTGCGTAATATGCCTTTTATAGACAAGGCCCAACAAAAGATTTCTAGAGGTACCTTATCATATGTCTTTTCTAAGTCAATGAACACCAAATGCCGATCATTTTTAGTGTCTATATTTCTCCACTTGTCTAAGAAGGTGAATGGTCTTAATTGTTGAGCGTCCAAGCATAAAATTAAACTGATTCTCCAAAATTTTCACATTTTTTCGGAGTCTTTGTTCAACCACTCGCTACCAAATTTTCATGGTGTGACTCATAAGTCTAATACCTCGATAGTTGGCGCATTCCGAACATTACCCTTATTTTTAAATAGGGGAATAAGAGTACTCTTCCGTCAACTCGTTAGCATTTTGCTGTTCTCCAAATCATGTTGAACAAACGTGTTAGCCACTCGATGTCTCTCTCCCAAACTTCTTCAGGCCTTAATCGGTATGTCATGTGGACCCACTACTTTCTTCTGCGCCATCTTTCTCAAAGCCTCTTTAACGTCTGTCAATTGGATCCTTCTCACAAAATCATGATTTATCATACAATCTGGTATAGTAAGATCACCAATACCTTGCACTTTATTCTCGTTGAACAAGGTATCAAAGCATGACCTCCACCTCTCTTTTATTTCCCCATCCTCCATTAGTACCATTTGATCGACATCTTTCACACATTTAACTTTTCGGATATCTTGAGTCCTACGATCACGAAGACAAGTAAGTTTGTAAATATCTTTTTCTCCTTCTTTAAAATCCAATTTAGATACAACTATTTGTTCATTTTCCCTCTTGCTTCCTTTACATCTTTCTTTGCTTTTCTTTTATTCTCTTTGTAGTCCTCTATTTTCTCTCACTCCAACTTTTGCCCAACTTCTAGTAGCATTCGCGTTTGGTCCTTATTGCTTGTTTCACCTCATCATTCCACCAAGATGTGTCATTTTTTTGTGGCAGACATCCTTTAGATTCTTTGAGTATCTCCTTTGCCACATTGCTAATGGTCAACTCTAATGGTAACTACACATCATCCACATGTGCGTCATTATCAATACATCATACATCTTCCTCCAACATGTTGGTGTGCAAAACTTTGTTGGAGATCCCTTTCGAACCTCCACCAATTTGTCTTTAGCTCCACTTGATGCTTAACTCGCCTTCTCTTCTTACCTTGAAAATCAAGCACAAGCATGGAATGTTGAGTGACAACACTCTCATCTGGGATAACCTTACAATCAGTGTAGGTAGTTCTCCAAGTCGTTTGTACTAAGAAGTGGTCAATTTGGGTACTATTAGCTCCACTTTTATAGGTCATAAGACAAAAGTCTCTTTTCTTGAACTAAATGTTCATTACATCCAACTCATATGTTGAGGCAAAATTCAGGGTATTTTTTCAGACCAGAAATAAAACAGGATGTTTTTTCCCGCTTCATTTCTAGTGTCAAAACCATGTCCTCTATGGATACTCTCAAAACAATCACAATTTGGGCTCGCATGCCCAATAAGGTAGCCTCCTATGACCAACTTCTCTCTCTTTGGCAATCGTCTCACCACTGCCTCAAGATCTTCCCCAAATTATTGAGTAATAGATGCATTCAATCCCACTTGTTGTGCATAGACACTTACGACGGACGTGATCTCATGTCCTATTACTAATTTAATGCTCATGATGTGGTCCTTCTTTTTGACTTCCCCCACACCCTCAACATAATCACGTGTCAATACTGCCTACTTCATTTCTGATCTTCTCTCTCCCCGAATGTCACAACTTAAAACCTCCAAAATTTATCGCACGTGCCTTTTCTCCAAAACTCATTTAGTTTCTTGCACACACATAATGCTGCTATTCCTCCTTCGCGTAACCTCGACTACCTCCGATGATCTTCTCGTAAGAGAGTCAGCATTCCGTGTTCCAAATCGCAATCTAGCAACTTGTCTTCTCTTCTTCACTTCACACCTTGACTACCTCCACACCTTGCCTTTGCATATTTGACACCACCCCCGGCATTAGGGTGACGCATCACTTCTGAGCAACGGCATAGTTGCAACGATATTCATATTTCAATTCATGCCTTGTGATGTGACTAGGTGATATTGTTATTCATCACGCGCCTACCACAACACCCTCCTCTTTTATCCTGACTTGCGAAACGCATGATATCAAAAAATGACCTCATGGCGGAACTTGAAGGCTAGAAAATGTATGGGTTAAGTATACCATTGCTACAACCCACTAAGTTTATGATTTGTATTTGTTCACAACTTCAGATTCATTCTGTTTCAATGTTTATATCATAAAAAGGCTAAGGAATTTAAGTATATGTCAAACAATTTAAAAAGGTTAAACCTTAGTTTTAATTATATTCGATTTTCTTAACACTTTCATGGTAAAGCCAAATAAGAGCACCCAACATATGTTAAACTAGTACCGCTTCATTTGCTAGTACATAGAAAAAAGAAAAAAGAAAGAAAATATCAACAACATAAAATGCAACCCAAAAAATACTTCATCACATATTCAAAACAGTGCATCATGGTGGGTGTCATTCCCTTCCAAATAGCATTTTTGGGCCAAGTTTAAGAAACAGGCATCTTAGACAAGTTCTATACTCAAAAAACTTCAGAAACATTAAAGCTAAAGCAACCATACATACATATCAGACCAAATATTGACCAATACTACTTTCCCAATGAGCCAACCACTCACCAATGACACTATTTGTAGAATATGATGCTTATATATGATGGCACTTTGGCAACAAAAAGAAACATTTAATCACATAAATATTCCCTTACCAGATTGTAGCCATGTCACTTTCTGGCAATTGTTTGTATAGCGATTCATAGAAAATCCTTAATGGGTCACCCTGGAACACTCAAACCAAAAAACCAAAAAACACTATTAGGGGGGAAACTTTATTACATCATTTTCTTTTATTGCTTCTAATATGCAGGACTTTATTAGAGTGTGTATGTCAGTATGTCACTTTATGATAAAAGGAAATTTCTAATACACAAAAGGTTCTTCAGAAATACAACCACATACTTCCCCTGGAGGATCCCTCTTCTGTCCAGGCAAATCATAAACCTTCTTCTCTTTTTTCTTTCCAGTAATAATCTGCAGATCTTCCTCCTCTTTCTTCACCTTTTCCTGCGCATTTATCCCAAATATCTAATTCTAAACAATAATATCAAAGTAATTATCATAACAACAATACAAGCTTAAGAAAAAAATAACCTTTTCTGTTTTATTAGCGGCATTTTTTGATTTACAATCTTTTGAATCGTCCTCGTCCTCTTGTTCTACATCCTTCATCTTTTTCTGCAACTTAGGTTTATTTGGATGAGGTGTTAATAACGGAAGTCAGTTAAGAAGGAGAAGGTTAGTGCAAGCCTGAAACATAAACTTACCTTTTTTGGAGAGATATTGTTGGGGAGAGGTAATAAGATGGAGTATTAGTAAAACACGCGTTTTTTATTGACAAATATATATGGGGTATAAAATTAAATTTATATTTCAATGTTGATCTTTTTCAATACTACCAGTCATATAAACATATAAAGAAGCAATTTTGGAAATTTATATACTACGCATAATGGATATACTTTAGAACAAACTGAAGGAACTCAGAAGATTTGGGATTATATGGATAAGTCACAATAATATGAATAACTAAACTAAAGTTTTGGGGAAAAAGATGAAGAACTATAGGGAAAGAGGGGGCAATTGATAGTCCAACCTTCCAAAACACAGAAAAACACCGAAATTGGAGTACAAAAAGGTGAAGAATTGAAGCGACCCCAAATTGGAGGTCAAAAAGTGAAAATTTGAGGTCATGAGCGTTATACCCGTAGCACCTCTCACCCTTCACTAGCATCCGTAATTTTTTATTACCTTCCACCAAAAAGCAAAAGGTTAATAACATCACTTCTTTTATCACTTCTTTAAACTAAAGTGGAGGTTAATAACACCTAAACACCGTTAACCCCAAAACCCCGATTTTAAACCAAACAATCAAACTAAACTAACTATAGGAAAAATAACAGGAAACAAGAAAGAAGAAACCTTTTCAGTTTTTTTAACCGCGGCTTTGGATTTGCACACTTGAAAATCGTCAACAGCCTCTTGTTTCATGGGTTTAGCTTTACAATCAGAAATCTTGTTCGAGCTCCGTTTACGATTGGGTTCCTCGGGAACTTCCACCTTCACATTGAAGGTCCCTTTCGCAGTATTGTTTTGCTGAGATTTCGGAACAGCTTTGCTGCTAGAACTCTGTTTCTTTTTATTTTTGTGAAGTGAACCGATGCACTGCTCCTCGTCGTTTTCCACAGATTCCATACGCGATGAATTTGAATTTCTGATAGCAGTGGCAAAAAGAATAATGAGGAAGAACCCGATTTGACGAACTGAGAGCGAGCGCAAAGTTACGTTTCAAGTTGAACGCAGCGAGTTCCCATTGACTCGTTCTCTTTCGTTTTCTCCTTACTAATCTTGGGCCTTCCAAACGGTCGAGTATACTTTAGGCCCGTTGGAATAATGTTACTTCACAAATATTAAAGAAAATGGTCAAATAAGGATTTATACAATTATGAAATAGTCACATAAGGTCACGTACTCAATAAAGTGTTATATAAGTACCTTTATTTGTATAGAGCAATCAAATGAGTCCTAACGGCTTATTTAACATCTCCTAATCCTGATTTTAGCATACATGTCGATTTTTTTGACTTGTATTTCAACCAATCTTAGTTAAATATTAGACATATGTTGTATAATGTATTCTAAAAAGATGGTCAGAAGTACGTTGAAACCGGGATTAAGAGGTGTTAAATAGGTCATTATGACTCATTTGATTGCTTTTTACAAATAGAGGTACTTATATGACACTTTATTGAGTAGATGACTTTATGTGACTATTTCATAATAGTAGAAGGCCTTATTCGACCCTTTTCTCAAAATATTATATTAATGAGAATGTGTTTAATTGTATCTCATTTGTGTTTATTAAAACTAAAAAATATCACATTGATTTGTTTGGTTGAATGATATCTTATATTAAAAATTTGATGATTTACTCCAATGCTCTTTAAGAATTTTTTCTTAACACAGTAAACTTATTACAACATCCATTTAAACTAATTTAAATTAAAGAAAAAAATACCTTAACAATAAATAAAATCAAAACTAAATGAATTATGATTAATTATACAAATGACAAAGATACATTGTGGATCTTTCATCCAAAGAGAAAGATTAGTGAATGTTGAGGTTAAGTCCCGTAGATTTGAAAGTCCAACACACGCTTTGGATATTAAAGGATGTATGTGTTAATTCGAGGGTAAAAGAAAATATAAAGACTGAATGATATTACTCAAAAGTCCACTTGTATTAAAGTAATTCGTTGATTACAGTTGGATTGCCCGAACAGTATGTCGGAACAGTAGCTAATACAAGAATAAGAGTGAATAATTTATGCTAACGCTCTGAGTATCAAAATGCTAACCCTCTACAATGAGATTAATGCCTCTATTTATACTAAAAAAGAGGTAGGTGGGTGATGACGTGGCTGAACTCGACTGGCTGTTGTTTTCAAGCCACTTGGATACCCATGCACTTGCTGATGTCATACTCTAGCATTTAATGCACATTGCCACTTGCTGACTGGACGTTCGGGCAGCGATGTGTTGATCCTGGCTGGTGTTTGTTAATCTGACACGAGTGTACTACTTGACCCGTTTCCCGTTCGGAATATTCGGGATGAACTATTATGGACCCCCGGTTCCCATTCGGGTCATAGTTTCTTCACGGGCCCGTCGTCCTTCTGGGGCCTTCAATGGTCTCTGGGCCAGGTGTTGGGCCTCTGGCCCAATTACCCAACACAAGTCCCCCATTTCCGATCTCTCGGACGGTAATGAGTGCATAAGGAAGTAGAATCGTTCTACGTCGTTCGGCAATCTCAAACGAGATTTTTACCGATTATCTGATGTCATGAATTAGTAGTTTATTGCGGCTGTCGGTTTAGTTTCCCCGTAATCGTCATGATTACTGGTCGTTGTTGCTCCGCGTGACGCGTGTCCCATCAAGCGCTCCTGGTGACGTGTCTCCTTTCGGTAGGTCAATGAATCGGCGCTTGTCAGGCTCTAAGTAGGCCTTTAGTTCTTCGGATCTGGGTTTTGAATTCCCATCTTCTTCGTGCTTTAGTGCTCCCTTCTCTCTAGGACTCCCAAGCTTCGCTCGTTCAGGTAATCTCTGCCCCTTCCTCTTACCTTTTCTACTTCGTGTTTGGTCAACATGTTTTCTCGACCACAATCTTCTGGTTCTGATTCCGAGACGGCCTCCCAAGGAGAAGTCTGTGATGCCGCTGCACAGGACGCCACAGCTGTTCCCTTTGATGATGTTGCTACTAATGTGACGGTGGAGGCGGTTGATAAAGATTCTACTGACTCTACTTCTTCCGGTGAGGACTCTGACGGCACGGAATCTGGTGATGAAATTGCCTCTATGGTGGCTGGTCCCCCGGGCGATGTCCCTCGTTATAGGATTGACCTAAGATTGATCAAGGAGAGGAGACAGAAATTGACCTCTCACAACAGGGCCCAAATTCCAGCCCTAATCCTGGTCCCAGTGGACTTCCGCCTTCGGGCTGGACTTCACCCAATGCGGCATTTTCATGGGATGGTGGTAGTCCATATGGATTCAGTGAAGGCCGGGCTTAGGTTCCCGCTACACCCATTTTTCGTTTCTTTTTTCAAATTTTACGAAGTTGTACCAGCCCAAATCATGCCGAACTCTTGTCGGGTGATGGTCGGATCTGCCGTTGCGTGGACGCCAAGGTCACGCCCATCTGGATCTGTTTCATCAATTTTTCAAGGTGGCCCCTCAGCAAACACATGGGTACTTGGTCACAAGTGCCCGAACGGAACATATATTGTTCAAGGGCAACTTAACTTCTATCAAAGGGTGGAAAGACCGGTTTTACTTCGTTTCCATCCCGGACGGTTTGATCCCGAACCGGTGGAATGCCTTCCCCCGTAAATCTCCAGATCCGCTTCTTACCGAGGAGATCTACAAGGATGTTTTTGCGGTGGAGCAGGACAAAATCTGCAACATCTTGGAGTACCTTACTCATGATCGGCTCGTCCAAACCGGGATAGGGACTGCCCGTATTCCTGGGTTTACTTGACTGAAAACCAAGTGCCATGGGCCGGGCGGTCCTTCCCGTGCGAGAAACGTCCCCTTTTAGTTTCCCACGTGGCAAGATCGTTAGGTACTAACTTTCGCCTTTGTTATTTTTTCAGCTCCCAACCCAGACGCTCCCATGGATGATAGTCACGTGCTTGCTGCCGGTGGAGTGGGCAAGAGGAAGAAGGCTAAGAAGAATAGCCATCCCAAATCTTTCACTGCCGCTCCTCAGAGTACCGAGCCGCCTCAGCCTGTCCAGGAGGTTCACCATATTCATCAGGTCCCCCTGGGGCAGACTGACATTGATGATATGTTGATGGATAACCTGTTCGGGTTAGAAAAAATGTATCCCTTTTCTGAACACTTTCAGGCCCCTCATGAGATGAATATGGAGACCGAGCGGATCAACGCTGCCACTGTCATGCGGCAGATCAACCAGATTTCTCTAGAGGACCCGATCCATGAGATTCTGGAGAGGGTCGGCTCTTCTGCGAGCCAGATCTGGTCTACCTTTGCTTTCTTCAATAATTTCCCGCTCCCCAATCTTCTGGTCGATCGAGCGTAGGAGTGTGTTGCCTTAACGGCTCTGAAGGTACCTCATTCCCTATCCTTCCATTTCTTCCTTATTATAACTAAAGGTACCCCACTTCCTTTCTCGTTCTTTATCTCTGAACGGTTTGCATATGGGGCTATACAGCTTGCAGCTGCGGGAATCCCATCTGGCCAAGGAATGGGAGCTGATCGTGGCTCAAACTTCTGCCGAACAGGCTGCCGCTACTGCCCTCGCTACCTCTGAGGCTGAACGGAAGGCCTTTGCTGAAGAGAAGCAAAGGCTTGAGAACGAGCTGGGCGGATGTAATACTTGAGATTTAATTTAAACGGATTAATAGTACTACTCATACCAACAAGGTGCATCTCCTTTTTAAGGATCTCATTAGCCAAGAACTCCAAAGTTAAGCGTGCTTGCACGGGAGTAGTCTTGGGATGGGTGACCCCCTGGGAAGTTTCTCAGGGCGCGCACGAGTGAGGACAAAGTGCACGGAAAAGGCTATTGGCGGTTTGTGAGGACAGTACTAGAGGTCAGATGTAACTACCTCGGGGCCTACGGGGTCGGGGTGTTACAAATGGTATCAGAGCAACCCTGCGATAGTGTGTTGATCCGTTGGATATCGGGCGGACACTTAGCAGGGGAAAAGATTTTGTGATATGATTGAGATTGGTTTATGGGCGCAACGAGGACGTTGCGTTCCTAAGTGGGGGTGATTGTAATACTTGAGATTTAATTTAAACAGATTAATAGTACTATTCATACCAACAAGGTGCATCTCCTTTTTAGGGAGCTCATTAGACAAGAACTCCAAAGTTAAGCGTGCTTGCACGTGAGTAGTCTTAGGATGGGTGACCCCCTGAGAAGTTTCTCAGGGCGCGCACGAGTGAGGACAAAGTGCGCGGAAAAGGCTAGTGGCGGTTTGTGAGGACAGTACTAGAGGTCAGATGTAACTACCTCGGGGCCTACGGGGCCGGGGTGTTACAAATGGTATCAGAGCAACCCTGCGATAGTGTGTTGATCCATTGGATATCGGGCGGACACTTAGCAGGGGAAAAGATTTTGTGATATGATTGAGATTGGTTTATGGGCGCAACGAGGACGTTGCGTTCCTAAGTGGGGGTGATTGTAATACATGAGATTTAATTTAAACGGATTAATAGTACTACTCATACCAACAAGGTGCATCTCCTTTTTAGGGAGCTCATTAGATAAGAACTCCAAAGTTAAGCGTGCTTGCACGTGAGTAGTCTTAGGATGGGTGACCCCCTGGGAAGTTTTTGAGGGCGCGCACGAGTGAGGACAAAGTGCGCGGAAAAGGCTAGTGGCGGTTTGTGAGGACAGTACTAGAGGTCAGATGTAACTACCTCGAGGCCTACGGGGCCAGGGTGTTACAACGGACTTTGAGTTCAGCTGGCCGCTTCTCAGGCCAAGGTGGCCGCCGTTGAGGCTGCGCAGGTGAAGTTCTTGGAAATGGCCTCCCGTATACCGGACGGTCCCTATGAGGTGATTGTGGACTTATCTACCGTTCGGAATCATTCAAATCCTCCGATGAGTTCTCCGCCATCAAGGATGAGTATGCCCTGCACCAACTTCCCGCTGTGTTTGGGAATTACATCGAGCAGTTCCCTCGGGGCCAGCCCAGGCGCAGAGCGGGAGTCGAGTTGCTTGATAAGGATCCCTGGGGTAAGCATTGGAATAATTCCCTAGCCGGGGATCTGTATGCCATGGGTTGCCAACACATCTTGCGGCCCTTTTGTGGCCAAGCTGTAGCAACAGATGGGGAGG